CCCCAAGAACTAGGGCAGAGTTGCTCTGAAAAACAAGAGTCTCTCCTGTAAGACCTGGGCCTGGGGTAGGCCCGAGTCCTCCTTGCCCAACCCCAGGGCTGCCAGCTGAGCACACAGGAGCATTCTGAAGCTAGGACTGGTCAGGAAGTGATGTTTGAGGGCCCTGGGGCAGAACTTGGTGCCCCAGGGAACTGATGACATGGGTGCCATTAGGGGAATGAGAAGCTCTGCACTACCCCACACTCCCCAGTGAGGTTTTGTCATGATAGTGGTGAGCACCTATCAATGAATGGAGTGTGTGCACTGGTTACAGTTCAATTGTGAAGAACAGCATCCACTCGAGCTAGTTTAGGAAGAAAGGGATTTATTACAGGGTACTCAACAGCTTATAGAACACTGGGGAGGCTGATAAAACAGCCTAAGTTGGGATTTCAGAAATGGTCCCAGAGCCACCCTGCAGGGGCTGCTGCCTCATCCGTGAGTAGGGCCCTCGTTGCTGATAGGGAGGTTTAGCGGCTGCCCGCTCCAGATCCGTGTGCCCCACTGTGGTCTGCACCTGCAGAGGGCTGTCCAGGACTCTAGGACTCCTGCCACAACTGCTTGACAGCAGAAACAAGTGCAGCCTTTGCTTCATTTCTGCCTTCTTGCACCAGTAAGTGCATCAGAGAGGAAGACTGGAACTGTATTTGGAATCCTAGCTGAAAAAGAGCCAGGAAGTATAGTCAGGTGTCCTGCAAGGGAGTTAGATATTCCAACCACAGGGTATGAAGATGAATCACTGGGAGAGCAACCTAATAACCAGGGGCTTAGGGAAGGTGATCCTGCAGAAATGACATTACATGCTGAACCATGGATGGGTGTTGGCCAGGCAAGGAGAATCTGATTTGTGCAGAAACCACCTGGGCGAGGTCACAGTGCAGGTACAGGGCCCCCTCTCGGACACGGGAGCAGGACTGTGGCAGAGCCCAGTTGCTGCCATCTCCGCCTTTTATGCTCTTAAACTTCTCCAGGTCCTTTAGGTGCATTTTGTTCTCTCTGATCTTCAAGATAAACCTATGAAGCAGCCTCATCAGCTCTCCTACCTCATTTCAGAAAAGAGGAAGGGGGGAGGTAAATGGCTTTCTCTGAGTTGCCTACTTGCTGGGGGCAAAGCTGCCAGCCTCCACCCAGACCTTTCCTCCCTGCTGGCCTTTCCAGCTACTCTCCACTGCTCTTTTTGGCCGGAGGACAGAAAAGCAGGAAGGCAGGGCCCGTAGCAAGCTGGAGACTGAGATCCCAGCACTAGCCCTGCTTCAGCAGGGGAAGTGTCTCTACATCTCTGAGCCTGTTTCTTTACGTGCAAGGTGAGGTGGCTGGAACATGTCAGCAAATGCATCCTCTTTGGCAGTGGGAGCCTTCATTCAAGAGCAGCGTTGTGTGTATCTAAGTGTAGGATGGAAAAAAGCAGAACTGTGATGGTTGCTGTAGGGAGGGGTCCACAGGAGATTCTCCCCACTCCACCCCCGATGTCCTTGCTTGGGGCTCACAGGGCTTTGGCCCCCAACAGAGGCCAGAGACTCTGAGCCTGCTCACGTCATTGCAGACCTCATGACTTCCCCCACAGGGGGAGAACATGAAGGGAGTTCAGGATGCCTGGACTGAGGTAGAAGAGCGGGTGCTGCATATTTAGGAAACAGAAGAATGGGCATGATAGAGGTGGTTCCCCATTCTGCCTGTTTCCTAAACAAAAACTCATATCCTATTCAACCAAGAGGAGACATTTGTTTGTGACGATGAACCTGTCTTGGAGGGCTGCCACAGGGGAGGTGTCCACTCTCCTGGACCTTGGCAATATGTGGCCTCCATAAAATCCCATGCATTCCCTCTCACTGCCTGCACACTGGTGCTGCCTGGCTGCCCTGACACTTCTCTGCTCCTCACCAGCACGTGACAGGTACACCTGGAAGCTACCAGAATGTGCATGTACTGGGCCAGCTGAGGGAGAACCTTCCTGATTGGGCTGGAGAGACCATGGCTCCAAGGAAGATGTGGTGTTATTGCACCTATGTAGTCCACTTCCACCCAGAGTTTGAGCACTCTGAACAAGTTTTGGTGGAATTGTCTGCACTAATACTGCTCCAGCTTGCCTTTATTCAACAGAGCTGCAAAGAAGGTGCTGTTGACACCAGTGTGAATTTGGACGTGGTAGCTGTTTGCCAGCTCTTTGTTATCAACTGGCACCAGAGGCATTCCATGTGCCTACTCTAAAACCATGTCCAACCAAGTATCTCCTCAATGGAGGTGTTCACAGAAAGCTACTAACTTCTGTTAAGAACTGTTGAGGAAACCTTTGATGTATCTTATGCAAAGGTCCGGCAGTTGCCTAAGAGGCTGGCAGCAGCCCTCCATAGGAATGGGCCTTCTCATCAAAATCGGTAGTTTCTTCTTTCTCTGGCTTTGCCTATCAAAGGTGTTCCCATAGTTAGCCAGCAGAGGCATCAGAGGTCACAGCTCTTGGACAGTGAATTCCTGAGGCGGGATGAGACTGACCTGGTGAGATCCAGCCAGACTGTTTAGGAGGAGCAGGAAGACACTGTGCTCAGAAAGGGCTCTAAGGAGCAGGCTTTAAAAAGGGATGGCATGAGAAAGGGGGACGGAGAGGAAAAGGAAACTCAAGGTGTAAGGGACTGTTAATAGGGCTAACATTATATACACACAGTGGGATGTTACTCAGCCCTACAAAGAAGGGAATTCTGGGCCATGTTACAATATAGTTGAACCTTGAGGACATATGCTAAGTGAAATAAGCCCATCACAAAAAGACAAATACTTTGTGATTCCACTTATATGGGTACCTAGAAAAGTCAAATTCAGAGAGAAAGAATGGTGGTCGCCAAGAAGAGCTGGGGGGAAGGGATGAGAAGTTTTTGTCTAATGCATGCAGAATTTTAGGTTTGCAAAATGATAAAAATTCTAGAGATAGTGTCAATGGTTGCACGTCAATGAATGTGCTTATTGCCACTAAACTATAACACTTAAAAATGGTGAAAATGGTAAGTTATTTTTTACTTTGATTTTTTTTATTGAAGTATAGTTAACAACAATATTATATTGGTTTCAAGTATACAACAGTGATTTGGCAGTTATCTACCTTATTAAATCCTCTCCCCAACTAGTGTAGTTACTGTCAACATAGACAAGGTTACCGAATTATTGACTATATTCTCTATGCTGTACTTTCATCCTCATGACTTATTTATATTATGATTGAGATTTTGTGCCTCTTTATCCCCTTTACCTATTTCACCCACCCACTCCAAACCCTCCCCCATGGTAACTACCAGTCACTTCTCAGTGTCTGAGTCTACTGCTGTTTTGTTCATTTTTTTGTTTTGTTTTGTTTTTAGATTCCACATATAAGTGAAATCATATGGTATTTGTCTTCTCCACCTGGCTTATTTCACTGAGCATAAAACCCTCTAGGTCCATCCATGTCTTCACAAGCAGGATTTCTTTTTTATGACTGAATAATATTCTTTTGTAGATATGTACCGCATCTTTGTCCATTCACCTATTGATCGACACTTAGGTTGCTTCTGTAACTTGGCTATTGTAAATAATGCTGCAGTAAGCATAGGGGTGCATATGTCTTTTTGAGTCAGGGATCTTGTTTTCTTCAGGTAAGTTCCTAGAAGTATAGTTACTGGGTCATATGGTATTTCTATTTTTAGTTTCTGAGGAGCCTCCATACTGCTTTTCACAGTGGCTGCACCAGTTTACATTCTTCCCAACAGTGTAGGAGGGTTCCCTTTTCTCTGCATCCTCGCCAACACTGTTGCTTATTTTCTTTTGGATAGTGGCCATTCTGACAGGTGTAAGGTGATAACCTCTTTGTGGTTTTAATTTGCGTTTCACTGATGATTAGTGATGGGGAGCATCTTTTCATGTGCCTTTTGGCCATCTGAATTTCTTCTTTGGAGAAGTGTCTGTTCAGGTCCTCTGCCCATTTTTTAATTGGGTTATTTGTTTTTTTGGTGTTGAGGTATATGAGTTCTTTCTGTATTTTGAATGTTAACCCCTTAACGGATAAATCATTTATGGACATGTTCTCCCATAGTGTAGGTTGTCTTTTTGTTCTACTGATGGTTTCCTTTGCTCTGCAGAAGCTTTTTAGTTTGATATAGTCTTACTTGTTCATTTTTGCTTCTGTTTCCCTTGCCTGGAGAGACATATCCAGAAAAATATTACTCATGCTTATGTTCAAAAGATTTTTGCCTATGTTTTCTTCTAAGAGTTTTATAGTTTCATATTTTATGTTTAAGTCTTTAATCCATTCAACTTTACTTTTTTGTATGGAGTTAGACAGTAATACAATTTTATTCTCTTGCATGTAGCTGTCCAGTTTTTCCAACACCAGTTGTTGAAGAGATTGTCCTTTCCCCACTGTATATTAATGGCTCCTTTATCATATGTTAATTGACCATATATGAATGGGTTTATTGCTGGGCCCTTAATTCTTTTCCATTGATCTAGGGGTCTGTTCTTGTGCTAGTGCCATACCATTTTGATTACTGTAGCTTTGTAGTATAGTTTGAAGTCAGGAGTGTGATACCCTCAGCTTTGTTTTTTCTCAAGATTGCTTTGGCTATTCAGGGTATTTTGTGGTTCCATATGAATTTTAGAATTATTTGCTTTAGTTCATTGAAAAATGTCATTGTTGTTTTGAAAGGGATTGCATTGAATCTGTAAACTGCTTTGGGCAAGATGGCCATAAAATGGTAAATGGTCTAAAGCCTGGTGTTTCTCAATGCCATCTGTTCCTACTATTACCGAGGATTTGTTCTCCATCCATCTCTAGAGGCCACTGCCCCACTCAGTCCCTTGGATTGAGTGTAGCCCTTGTTGTGGCCTTTATCTGGTTTTCTCCATCGCTTGGTGGTGTTAGAAGTTGGACGTTGGCCAACATTATTACCCATGACCTTTATTTTAAGGAGTGACCCCTGTTGCACAATCTGTTTCAGACCACAGTCATTGACTACGTGAAGCCCTCAGATCTCAAGAAGGACATGAATGAGACCTTCAAGGAGAAGTTTCCTCACATTAAGTTAACGCTCAGCAAAATACGGAGGTACGTGAGGACTGACACCCTCTTGAACTTTCCCTCAAACTCTTCTCTAAATAAGCTAACACTCTATATGATGGTTCTTCCTGTTGTTCTGGGGAAGTGAGACATAGGCACATTCAGCAAGAAGAGGCCCGTCCAAGGGAAGCAGGACAGAAGGCAGAGCTCTTGACATGAGTTGACATGGATTTTGGGAGAAGTTCCTTTAGTGAAAGAATTTCATGCTCTCTGCAGCTCACCACTTCAGGAAGATTTTTCTTGTGGAAAACTCAGAGAAGCTAGCACACATTGGGTTCCCGGCCTTCTCAAATGTGGACCAACAGAAAATAGTTGGTATTGTAGGTTTGAGATAACTCTTCCCACAGATGTCCTCCCAGAGGTGACAGACAAGCCCTATCTTTAAGTAGTCAGCAAAACAGCCAAAGCAAAATCAGGCCCATATTTCCCCCACAGCTGATTGGATCGGCTTTGTGGTGACTCACATCTGCCAGCCAAATAATCAAGAGGGCCTGCCCTGCTGGGCTGGAGAGGAACTGACTTGTGTTGTGGTATCTGTGTATCAGGACAGCAGAATTTCATTGTGTGCATGTTTGTGTGTGCATGTTTGTGTGTGCATGTGCGTACGTATGTGAGTGTGTGTGTGTTTAGTAGTGGAGGTTGACTATACACCAATGCTATGTTGGAAAATGTGCCGGGATTTACACATGTATGTATCCCAATACTGATTTGATTCTGGCATGTTCTAAGCCAGAAAAGTGAAAAAAATTAAGAGTTCACATTTTGCGCATTTTCTGGGCAGCACTGACTGTTGTGCTCTACTCCCCACCCCTCTTCTGCCATTATTAGTGCACATAACTGATGTTCAGCATAACTCATAACAAGTATTTAATTTATTTCCATAACTGATCTCTGGAATAACCATAGTTTACCCCTCTCTTTGGACAGCTTTATGCCTAGTTTCCAGAGAGACCCTCAGGCATCCAGTCGGGTCCAGTGTGGTCCTCTGTGCCCCACATCCACATGGTCTATATAACATGACAAGAGAGCAGAGTCAGAAGCCCCAGTGACTTAAGGCCATTGCCACACGTAATGAAACTTTTTAATTCCCAGGGATGTAGTCTCACCCCACCACATCCTCCTGGGAACGCTTTCCAGATGGAATCATATTTTCACTTGGGGTCCCCCAAAACTCCATGTTCTAATAAGGCTCTTCCCTCCTTCCTGTCTTTCTCTAGTCTGAAACGAGAGATGCGGAAGCTTGCTCTGGAGGACTGTGGCTTTGAGGAGCCCACGGTGGCCATGGCCTTCGTCTACTTTGAGAAGCTTGCCCTCAAGGGAAAGCTGAACAAACAGAACCGGAAGCTTTGTGCTGGAGCATGCGTGCTGTTAGCAGCCAAAATTGGAAGTGACCTCAAAAAACATGAGGTTAAGCATTTAATTGATGTAAGTGGCCTGAGTCCTGATGGCAGGGGGAGCAGAAGCTCCAGTCCAGCCTTTGTCCCTCAGAAGCACCCTTTGGTGGCCCTGCCCCGGAGAATTGTGGTCATTAGTACCCACTAAGAAACAAGGGCTTGAGGTCGTCTCTCCTGCAGCAGGCATCAGGGTCCACACCTCAGGGTGTCCTGGAATGGGGATGGTCCACTTTGACAACACCAGCGATCCCCAGTATTGGGTGTGTTCAGACACCATGGGGGAGGTGAGATTATTCTCAGAGCCATAGAAGCTGCTGGCACAGCAAGGAGTCTTGTGGACATTGTGACCTGAAGCGCATCCCTAACACACATTGGCTCAGCAGACCGTAGCCTCCTGCAGCCTAGGTTGCCTCCTCACTGGGGAAGGTAAGGCTTTGATTGAGTGGAATCTCCTTTATTTCAAAGGAGAGCACCATTGAAGCAAGGAAACGCTGATCTTGTACAGAAAAGTGAATGCCAGTTTTAAACTATTGTGTATTCATAGAAAATTTGAGGTTCAGTAAAGCTGGCAGATCAGGAGTCAAATGCCATTGAAAAGATGGTTTCTTAGTTGGTTCCCAAGAGGAGCGGTGTCTTCTCTCGGGCTGCTGTAACAAGATACCATAGACTGAGTGGCTTAAACAGCAGGCATTCATTTCTCACTGTTCTGGTAAGTCCAAGATCAAGGTGCCAGCAGCTTCGGTCCTTCGCAAGAGCCCTCTTCCTGGCTTATGGATGGCCACCTTCTCGCTGTCCTCATGTGGCAGGGACAGAGAGCAGGCAGGCCCTCTGATCTCTTCTTTAAGGGCACTAATCACATCATGAGGCTCCATCTTCATCAGCTCCTCTAAACCTAATCTCTTCCCAAAGTCCTCACCTCCTGATGCCATCCCATTGGAGGATAGGACATCAACAGAGGAAGTTGGGGACGGGGGACACATTCCGTCCACAGCGGGGGGCACATCACACCATGGGGGGCATGTGGGTTGGTCATGAGGCAGAGGGAGGAGGAACTGTGGGCAGGAGCTTTGGGGTAGTTTCCACAGGAAGGAACAGGAAGGCAGGGCAGGCAGGCTGAGGACCGCTAGTTTGAAGAATTTCAGAGGCTGTAGGGCATGGAGGCTGTCCCCACTTGGCTGGTGTCTGGACCTGGTGATTGGGGCAGGAAGATAGTGGCTCCAAGAGTGAGAGCTGACTTGGGGGTAGTAGGCGTGGCCACTGGGGTGGCTGCTTTGCTGGGATGAGTGTAATCAAGGTCAAGTTGTCCACTCTCTCCAGGGATAGGCTAACCCTAGAAGGGGCAGTCCCTCCAAGGTCAGCAAGATCCCAAATGTCAAAGCACAAAGAATGCAGAGAACAAAAGACTCAGTTAATACAATGCCCCGTACGTCTAGCTGTGCAGCTGTCTTCCATGGCAGAAGGAAAAAAGCAGAAAGGGAACTAATGTAGGTATTCCCCACAGAAGAAGGGTGTTCTGTTTTTTCATTTACCATTTTAATTATTTTCAAATGTCCGGGTCAGTGGCATTAAGTACATTAATATTGCTTTTCAATCACCACCACCATCCATCTCCAGAATTCTTTCATCTTGCAAAACTTTAAACTATCCCCATGAAACAGTACCACCCCATCCCTCTCTCCCACCAGCCCCTGAAAACCACCATTTTACTTTCTCTCTCTCCAAAGCTGATATGCCTCATAGAAGTGTGTCATACAGTATTTGCCTTTTTGTGACTGGCTTATGCCACTTAGCATTGTTTCCTTAAGGTTCATCCATATTGTAACACATGTCAGAATTTCCTTTTTTAAGGCTGAGTAGTGTTGCACTGGATGTATATATTACATTTTATCCATTCATCTATCAATGGAAGGAAGTGCTTTTTGGTCAATTCTTTACTGATCAGTGCTTTACTGATTTTTTTAAGAAATGATACAAAATCATTAATCTTGCATAGTAAATACTTTTAGAAACACAGAGGGGATCTTCAGATACCAAATGTGAGCTGAAATTAATGGGTTTGCATAGAAACTAGCAGAAATAATAAATCTTTAGAAGTGTGATGTGGACATTTAATCATAGTTGAGTAATACAGCAAAAGCTGATAGTAGCCATGCAGTTTATAGAGTAATGTTTTGGGGGTAGTTTCCACAAGAAGGAACAGGCAGGCTGGCCGGGCAAGCAGGGTTAGGGCTGCTAGTTTGAAGAATTTCAGTGGCCGTAGGGCATGGAGGCTGTCCATTTGCAGTAGCAGTTCCCCTAATGAGAGACCCATCTGAGTCATCATCTGAATGCAGTGGTCAGCAGCTGTCTTTTTTTTTTTTAAGCCAAAAAGCTTAGCTTAAGCCACAGCAGAACATGGCCTTCCATACCCACTCTTACTCTGATTTTTCTTCATTTCTGTGCCAGCAGACCCTGCAGCTGGGGGCACACAGAGCAGGAGAGGCGACCTTCTGCGCAGAGCCCAGCGCTGTGTACTCGGCCCATTTAGACACACACAAGCTGTTGCTCTGCAAGTGGGTGTCCTTGCTGGGACCTGGGTCCTCGAAAGTAAAATGAAAGGACCAGACTACATCTGATCAGCTCACTCAATCCCGAACTTACCCCGTGGTTATTGTTGTCAATAAGTTGCCATATTTTTCATCTTAACCTCTAAGCCTGAATAACCCCATTGTAACATGTAGACTTTGGGGCCCAGTTGAGTTTGAATCTCAGCAATTTACTGCCTATGTCATCTTGGACAAATTATTCAACCCTGTTTTCTCACATGTGAAATGCAGATAAAGATAACATTGACCTTGTAAGATCACTGAGAGATTAAATGAAGTCATGGGATGTATGTCAGGCTCCCTGCAGACTGTGGGGTTGGTTCCTGCCCTACCAGAACTGAGCAGGGAGCACAGCTAATGCCTCCCTTTCTGCCCCCACAGCCTCCCCCATAACAGGGTTCTCCGCACTCACTCGCTGACAGCTAGAGAGGTTACACAGGCAGAAAACCTAGGATTTCGATTTCAGAGCTCAACTGCTTTTGGTTTTCTTCAATTCTGTTGCAGAAACTGGAAGAGAAGTTCCGGCTGAACAGACGAGAACTGATTGCCTTTGAATTCCCTGTGTTGGTGGCCTTGGAATTTGCCCTTCATCTGCCAGAGCATGAAGTCATGCCCCATTACAGACGCCTGGTCCAGAGTGCCCAGCACAGACCCCCTAGGAGAGCCTCCTAGGGTCTGCTTCCTCTGGGCTCAGCAGAGAAGCCCTTCCTACTGGAAAAGCAAACACAACTCAACACACCAAACTTTTTTCTTTCAACATGTTTTTGTGTAGAAGCCATACCAGAAGCTTTACAGGGAGCCTTCGGTCTGGCCAGCCGAGAGGAGCTGTGAGCTGTTTCACACATGGCAAGGGAATGGGAGACCCATGCAGAGGACAGCAGAGGCCCTGCCAGCCATCCATGCACAAGACTTGTTAGCGGTCCCCACCCCAGCCTTCCTCCTGGGCACACAGACCCTGCCAGCTGGCCCAGGGCCTTCTCTCCAGACCTGTTTATTACAACTCATAGAGTGTGAAGTTCTAGGACAGAGTGGAGAAGAAAATTTGCCGAAGTTGGGGGAAAGTTTTTAAAAGATACCCTCACTGTGTCAAAAGAGCATGCCAATCTATTTTTGTATCAACTCTCAGAAGTGCACTTTTCCCGGGGCGTGTGGAAGCATGAGTGTGAGAACCTGTGTGTCTGAGAGGGGCTGCAGTAGTCCTCGCCCTCTTTAGAGCAAAGTTCCGCCTGGGGTCCCGAGTCAGGCTGACCTTTGGCAGTCATTTCTAGATAATCTGGAATAATAATCTCTCTCTCCATACCAGAGTACCTGACATCTTCTACCCGTAGAAAATAACATTGTTTCTGTTACTGCTTCTCCCACCAGTGGGACAAAGAAGACATGTCCTCGGTATTGGATGGATTGCATGGAAGTACCAGAGTGTGGCGCTCTGTACCTTTCTGCAGTCACACTGTGTGCATATGTTTAATCTTTGCACTTTTCCCACCATGGAGATGGCTGGGGTTGCGCTCCATGGTGGTGTTCCATGCTCTATGTTAGAGTGCATCATAAGCACATTTACTGTGCTCTGTATATATACATATATATATATATATATATATATATATATATATACACACATACATATAAAGTTTTATAAAACTATCCAGAATAGGGGTAAGGTGCATGATTGGGGTCTTGAGCTGAGGTTGAGTCGATTAAAGAGTCAGTGACTTATTGCCACATACCCATGGCTGTCAGTGCAGAATTTTAATTCTAACTTGTACTGACTCACTGGGATGACCTTTACTGGGGCATGTCACCACACCGTCACCTCATAGCCACAAGAGAGAGGGCCCACTGGGGGTTTGCCTGACTGAAGAAAGCCCATGGCCATGTAAAAAGAGAATTAAAATGTTTTATTCTTTCTATATACCTGTATGTGTGTGTGTAGATGCATTTGACCCTGCACCACTGATTCATCTGCTACCATGTCCACATCACTTTTCACACATGCATCACGCCCGAGAAAGGGCAAGGGGGACTGAGTGTATAAGCCTTAGTTACAGAGCTTGAAGCAGTCTGACTATGCAGGATGGAAGACTTCCAGAGGAGAGAGCAAGCAGAGCACCTGCCTTCTCCATGGTCCTAGATGTCTCAGTGCTCAGCCGTAAATACTTGCTAACGGATTTCCTTAGCTGGATCATTGTGAGACGGTAATTTTGTTGAGGGGTATGATGAATGTGGTTTCTTTGGCTAGTCGGCTAATACTTAAGAAGCACCTGCTTTCATGGGGCAAATTGGGAAGGAAACACAAAGTACTCAAAGTGTCTCTATCACGAGAAATATATGCCCTTGACCATCTTCTCCTGGGGTCTGTCACTTGTAGCGTTCTGATGAGCCACCCGGGTTCCCAGCCTACTCTGCTCCCTGGCGAGTGCCTGGCAGGTGGACAGCTTTTCTGAGAAGCAGGGCTGCTGGCATCGAGATGCTGCCTGCAGAGCGCCCTACCATCCATCTGCCTTGAGTCTCCTGCCAACCCCAGGGATGTCTGATGGATGACACGGGCCGCCAACCCAGACATGGGGAGGGCAGGCTGCATCCTTCCTGGGTCTTAAAATCAGGCTAATGCTCTTGAATTTGGGGTGATTTGGCTGGTGTTTAGCATTTACAAAATGGAATCAAGTCATTGGTTCATGTTGTTAAAAGACTCATCTTAATTTTAAATTCTATTTTGGATGGGTTTGGGGAACGGGGAGTTGTATTGGTTTCCATTAAGTTGGGAGGGGGACTGAGGATGAAAAAATTCTATCAAGGGGTTTCCATTTGCTTGTCTGATGAATGAGCTTTCTAAAGGAAAAGGAAGATGAGCCATAGGGTGGGAGTGAAGGTCATTGCCAGGGCCACCCCTGGGGTGGGGTGTGTCCCAGGGACTCCCCCAGCCTCAGGTTTTGGCAGAGAGTCGGGGGCAGCCTGAGCTTATGTGCAAGGGAAAGGCAGCCACTCAGGAGACTGTTCGAGAGGACCCTCGGGTTCTTCCCTCCCGCCTCCACCATGGGGCGGGCTCAGCCCCTGGCCTGCTGCACTCTCAGGCCTGCCCTGGGACCTCACAGCTGTCCCTGTGCACAGATGCCTGTGGGGAAGCCCTGCCAAGTCCCCTGCATGCCTCGGGACAGACTAGCCACTCTCTCGTAGTTTCTCTCTCTCGTCAGCCCTGTCTGTTAAGTCTGGTAAGAAATGGGCACCAACCAAGCAGACAGGCTACTGCAGCTACCCTGGGGAGGAGGGGGCAGCAGGCCTGCTGTGCACCCTGCCTGTGAAGGGTGCCACCCCAGTGCACAGAGTACCTGCCCTCAGGGCCTGTGCCCAAGCCCAGTGACACAGGAGAAGCCCCTACTTCCCTTCCCCACAGTCAAACCTGTGTTAAAGCAGGAAACCACCAAATGCAGAACTGTTTGTGTCCTTGCGTTTTTATTTTATATTAAAAATACCCCTACCAGAGTTCCTGTTGCCCTCAACCAGCAGGCCCCGTCTGGGGCAGCCCCTTACTCCACACAGGTCACCTGTGCCACAGCCCCTGCCTCACTGCTGGGAGAGCTGGGGACATTGAAGTGCCCTGCCCTCATTACTCTGTCCTGTCCCCTTCACTCCCCCAGCAACAAATGGAGCTGTATGGCCCCTGATGGTGGAATTCCCCGGCTTGGACATTTCCGACTCAGTGCTGCCGGCTGGCCCTGCCCCTCCACCCTGGCTGCCTCTGTAACTCATCAGGACCTGAGGCCTCCTCACCCTCTCCACAGTCTGCATACGCGGGGGAAGGGGTAGGCGGGAGAACAAGTAACTTTGAGGCAGGTCATTATGTCACTTGTTAATTGTGTTACCAGCAATGGACGAAGTCCTACCAAGAAAGGGGCTTGGGGGGGTGCCTCATGACTCGCCTCTTCCAGGGGCAGCCTGAGTTCATTTCCAGGGGTCTCAGGGTCATTTGGCTAAGGACAGCGCTAACCCCATCACAGCAGGGCCAGGGAGAGAGTGCTGAGGGCAGAGAAAGGAGGGAACAAGACTGTGAGTCTGGAGTCATGTAACACCAGTTTAGCCCAGCACAGAATGCCCGGGTGCCAGCTCAGAGAGCCCCACCCCATAAAGGACCATTCAGACTTCTAAACAGGTAGTCAGGAAGTCTACAAGCTCAGGGCTGGTTGAACTGTGAGGACAAGAGTGGCGAGTGGGGTACTTCCCCTGTACCATCTCCCACCACCACCTTGTAACCCTGTGGTTCTCAAAGTCTGGTCCATGGACCAGCAGCTTTGGCATCACCTGGGGCTCGTTACAAATGCAGAACCTGCATTCCGGTGGAGATTTGTATGCGCTAAAATCCTGAGAGGCATTGTTCCTCCATGTGAACATAGAAAATGAAATTCTGTCTAAAAAAAGGTACCATTCATCAGACAGAGAAAGGAGCAGAGATACTGTAGATGGTTTAACACCGAAAGAGAAAAATAGTGCCAATCTCTCACTGAAGGTTTTGACATCTGTTTACCTAGCTGCTTCATCTACCATTTTCTGGATGCACATGGCCAGAAATATTTAAACTGGACTAAGCTACGGGTCACCTGTTGCAGGTCCCAAGTGCAGAGTTGGCTAATGGGATTGCCTCATCCAGTGCTGAGTGGGGTCATTGCCCGATGAGGCTTGTCTCCCAGGTTCTCGGGCCCGTGGCTGGGGAGCTGTGCCTTTGGAGGGTCAGGGCTGCTGCAGGTGCTGGAGCATGAGTCCCTTCCATCACAGCTGGGGAGCTGTGCAGTAGTGGCCTTGGGGACATCGCGGATGAGATCTCCAGCAATGGGGGGCCACCTAGCATTTTAAAAATGTGTCTTACACTGGATTCTGTGGATGACAGCATGATTCCAAGGGCCTGCCCCTGGGGGGGCTTCCCGATACTGGGGAGGGACCACTGGGAGCAGGTGGAAAGCACATTTACCAGGTGCCAAAGGGAGCCCGACAACGCAGAAGCTCCAGGACAGACCAGACTCCCCGAAGGGCCTGGAACAGACAGGGCCAAGGCAGAGGTTGGGAGTCGCCACTCAGGACTCAGCCTGGCATGTGGATGACAAGGCAAGCTAAGTGAAGCGCAATTGTTTGGTCCTAGGAGTGAACACCAAGGACATAGGGTGAAATCAGACTCTGCCAGGGCACCTGGACAGGTTGGTGAGAAGCCAGAGTCATGAACTCTGATAGACAGAAAACCCCTGGACACTTCATGGAGGTGGAACTGCAAAGGACTTAATATTCACCACGTAGATGCCATGCACCAACCCTGGGTGAGACCATTAAAGCACAGGTTCTTATTCAACCCCTAAACAGACGGTAAGGTTAGATATCATGCTTCTGTCTCATATGTGAGGAGACTGAGGCTCTGAAGGCTTACATTCCCAGGATCCCACAGCTGTGAAGTGGTAAAGGCAGGATTCACATCTAAGTCTGTCTGATTCGAAGCCCAACCAGCTGTCCTGCCTTAATCTTGTGTCAGAGAAGCTGAGAAAGTGGATGGTCAGAGCCAGGCTGATAGCAAATGTCCTGGATATGCTGCCCTGCTGGCCTCTCAGGTTCAGTGGGACCTCCCCTATGCACCCAGTGGCCACCAGCTCCTTTCAGGCAGAGAGGAGAAGGGGTCTGGAGGTGCTAAATGGAAGTGTCCTCTCAGGCATGGGCAGCGGTCATAGCTGAGGGGGAACACACTTCTGAGCCCTGGTAGAACACGGGCTTTTTGCAAAACGTGCTTCTGCAGTAGGTGAGCTAAGGGCTTTTGAAACTAAGCAGATGCTCACAGTGTGGTAACATGGCCAGCACTGGTGTACACCAACCTTGCACTAGGGAGTTTCTCATTGCGTGTGTGGGTTTCCACTGTGTGTTACAATGAACACACATTCTCCTTGCCCTGTGACTGTGTGTCCCTGGCTGTGCCCCCTCATCAGTGTGTGACTAGGAAATGCATGTATTTTTCTCTAAGGCTAAGCCCAGCACGTCTCCAGCAGGCAGCTGGCAGGGAAGGCAAAGTCCAGGGATCACGAACCGTAGGAGACTCTTCATGCTTCAGCTCCCAGTGTCACCTGCAGGACAGCAGCCCTTGTTCCGATGTCCAGAGAGACACTTTTATGGACATACCTGCTACTCGGTGGCACAGGGTCAGGAGGGCAGGTATCCTATCCCCAAGCACAGTGCCTTGGTTCATGGAATTCAAGTAAATGTTGGTAAAGACAAAGGAACCATCACTTAACAGTCACCCCATTGGGCGAATTGTTCTCTGTCTGCAGCTCTGATCAATTCTCTGCTCAGGTGTGACCTTGCAGACCCCACCCGCCAGGGCCCTGGCCCTCCAGCTGTAGGGTAGGCTCTGCTGGGAGAAAGGGGAGCAGAACAAGGGTCAGCTTGTGTTCCACAGCCCAGGCCCTACCCCACCCAAAGCACCCTGCTGGTCCCAGGGCCTCACTACCCCGTGTTCGTCCCTTAACCAGGCCACACCTCCATAAATAGTTCCCTGTCTGAGTTGACTTCCACTGCCCCCATCCCATGCGCCAGACCCACTGGGCACGCCCAGCTGGCAGAGCAGGACATGGTGTTTTATTAAGCATGGGCAAAGGGGGGCCATCTGTACTTCCAAAGCATTCTGGAAACAAGCAGAGAAATTGTCCCGTGAGAGCATAGAGAATGTATGGGAAAGATCAGGGAGATCACATGCCCCTTACAAAGAAAGGCAGTTTGGCTACAAGGACCCTGGCCCCGTAGCAGCCCCCAAGGTGCGGTGGTATCCAGGCCCCTCCCTGCCAACTGGGCAGTCCTTGAGGTTCCTGGTAGTCTGCTGTGAGGGGTTTCTGCTCACAGAAGATGACCCAAAAAACTCAGTGGGCCCAATGGGGAGGCTCATGGCAGCTT